AAATATCCCAAGCTTTTACTTTACAGAAACTTGTAAAAAATTAATATTGTGTTTATAATTAATTGATAATCCGTGAGTCAACAAAACAAAACATATAGATATTACAATCATCCAAAGAAAACTTTTTTCTTATTAAGCTAATCGATTTTCTGTATTATAAGTAAGTTGTAAAGCTTATTAAGATGCATCTTAATAAGCTCTATAACTTACTTATAATACAAAGGTCAATTAGCTTAATAAAAAAAAGTTTTCTTTGGGTGATCATAGTATTCGAAGCATATATAATTTATATAGTAATCTGAGTTATATTATACTATATATTTTGTTCTGTTGACTCATGAATCATTAACAAATAATGTTTTTAAAATACAATTAATGTCATCCTCAAGTGGTAGGTCTAGAGTTTGAATCTTACTGTAAATGTTTTTAGAAAAATAGACCTATATACTGATAACAATTATTTAATGATTAGTTGGGTATATCACCTGTAATCTTGGTACTACCATCTTAAAATAGAAGCTCTTAAGCAATCTAAATTCAAAGAACTAAAATAATTGAAACCTGTTTAGCAAAATCCAAGTAAGGAGATAGTGAAGATTTTTGATAATATTGTGAAAAAGCCAGAAACTGAAGACCAAAGAACTAAACAAAAAGCCTGGGACAAGAAGAATCCACCAACCTGGCCACTAGAGTTGTATTAGAAAAAAAGGTTCTATACTATAGAATTAGGAACCAAGGGAAGTAAAACCAGAAAGTATTTAAAGCCTAGATATAATAACTTATCCAGGCTAACTAGTTTGGTAGTTTGGAAGGAATCAGTATAAAGATCGGTTTGATGCAAGTATCAAAATCGGAATAAACTTTGTAAAGGTATCAAATAACAGAATTATATGATTTAATAGTTAGTCCTAACTGCTAGTAGTGGTTTCAGCTGTTACAGAAGATATTCATAGCCTAATCTGAAAATGTGTAGGATATAGAAAGATTAAGAAGGTATATACTATACCTTTCTAGAGCAATCTGGTAGTATGAAAACCCTACTAGATTATCTATATAATTAGAGTACAAGTAGTATAGCAGATGTCAATCTGGGTGGTCTTTAATAAGAAGCAGCACAAGGTTATAGATTGGTGTGATTGTGGTGGTGGTGCAGAATGAGGATGTCAGAGGGTTTAAATAAGTAATCTTCTAGTTAGATTATAGGTATGGTATATAGTATAAAACCTTCAGGCAGACTACTTAAATTAGGCAACCAAAAGTTGCATATGTGGCTATATATACTCTCGCAAACCAAGAATGTACTACTAAAATACCTAATAAAAATTCACTTTTCCAAACATTGCGAAGGTAAAAAAAAAAAAATTTTGTTGACAACAATCTATTCTAAAATAAAATCAGATTTCAAAATATTCTTCTGGTTTAGATACTGAATATCCTAGGGAGTCTACACACAAGACAAAAAAAGTTTAATGGGTATCCGTTTGCTGTACTAAATTTAGTACAATGTACTAAATTTAGTACAGATTTAAAACTCAAATAAAATAAAAAATATCGCGAACTACTATATAAAATTTATGCGATATAAAGATAAATATATAAAACTCGTTTTGATAATTTAAAATCATCAGTATGCTTTTAGCAATTAGGCGCAAGCAGGTTTTTTCTGGGAAGAATTATCAGGGTTTGATTAGCATTGCAGATCAAATCTTGATAACACTTTCTAAATAATTCCCACTTATATAAACTTGTTCTAACAAGTTATAACCCGGTCAAAGTATGTATAGTTTAATAGTCTGATATCCATATTTAGACTAAAAATAATAATTTAATTGGAATATTTACGAAATAAAAAATGTGTACCATGGATATATTCATACGTTCATAGATATGGGTCTAAAAAAGTATAAGTTGTAATACAAAAAGTAGTTAAATTTTTAAATAGTTAAGCATTTGATTATTTGTTATTATACACAATGGCAAGAATATCATGCAAGTTAATTGTTGGCAGGCGAGTTAGCTGTAGAGCATCGGTATTACCAAAGGAAATAATTGAACAAAATTTACAAGAACGTAAAAGAAATTTGAAAAACCTACGTCTTTATGGCACAATTGTTGGAGAGCTAACTGCAGAAAGACGCCGAAAATATCAAGTTCGTTTTGAAGAAATTGGAAATATTACTGTAGATGTTCTTGCAGGTAATCTAAAGTATGAAAAACAAGCCACTCCAAATAGAGAAGAATTAGTTACAGAATCGTCATTGACTTTACCAGCTTACGAAGATATTTCTTATAGTAGTGATGATAGTGAAAATGACTTAGAAGAAAACAATGATAGAAATGACATGGATGTAATTGACCTTATTGTTACAGTAAACTGGCGTGAGCAACAAATAACTATTGACCAACGTGCAATTTATCTTGCATACAACCAAGATTGCAAAATTAATATTCCATCAGTAAGTTTGGCTTCGCCATATGAATTATTTCGCCGATATCTTCCACTAGATTATATTGAACAGTTTGTAATTAATTCTATTAATAAACGTGAAAGAGTTACTTCAAATTGGACAAATATAACTATTAATGAATATATGAGATGGTTAGGCTTATGGGTGTTAATGTCCGTTTTTCTAGTTGCTGATCGTCGTTTTTATTGGAGAACAAATCAAGAACAGACACAGCCTATACCATTATTCAATTTTCAACATTGGATGAGTCGTTCACGATTTGAACAAATAGTGTTATACCATACTTTAATGATGCCAAGTGAATTAGAAACTCCGGATCTTAATGATCCTTTATATTCTGTTTGCAGTTTTATTAACAATTTTAATAACAACCTAGTTGAAGCTATAAAGCCTGGAAATACTTTATGTGTTGACGAATCCATGGCGGATTTAGGGTTAGGGTTTCGAGTTAGAAAGTATTTGTTAGTAGTAGTTAGTTGACGAATCCATGAATTCATGGTTAGGTGAAAAAAATAAAATTTCTGGTCGTCGCAAAATACCACGAAAACTACATCCAATCGAACAAGAATAGAAAGTAATTGCTGATGGTTCTATAAATATTATCATTCAGCTAGAACCCTGTGAGAAAAAGAAAATCGAAAAAAAAGCAGTTTGTATCAGAATATGGTAGTACTGCTGCCTATGTACTTCGATTAGCACGGCCATGGTTTGGAAGTGGGCGTACTATAGTTGGTGATAGTTGGTTTGGGTCACCAAAGGTTTGCTTGCTTTTAATGCAAAACGGATTATATGGTATCTTTCATATTAAGAAAAAACGTAGCTGGCCTCTTAATTATCCCCATGACATGATTCAAAAACTTGAAAATACGTATGGATCGTATTTCTCAAAAGTTGCAATTGTTAATGGTGTATATTTAATTGCGGCTTCTTTAAAAGATAGAAAACCACAGTGCATTATTGCAACAGCATCAACTACAACACAAGGTGATGAAGTTGAACGTATAGTCAAGGATCATAATAATTCGTCATTGGTTAAATTTATACGGTCTAAAATCTTTTCTGAATACTCTTCTTCAAAAGGTGCAGTCGATATTAATAACCAGGTTGTTATTTTTATAACGCTAATATTGATAATAAATTATGATGTAATTATTATATAATCTTATTATAACTTTATTTAATTATTAGGTGCGCGATAATATGACTTCTTTTCATGATATCATGCGTGGATCAGATTGGCAGATACGTGTATTGGCCTTTTTACTTGGAGTTGCTGAAGCCAATGCATTTTTATCATTTAAAAAATGGCGTGAAGGAGCACATGATACTTCGCATTTTGATTTTAGACGACAATTGGCATTTGAAATTCTTAATGAAGATTACCTTAATTTAAGGAATCCATCACCAAATAAAAAGCAAAAAGCTCCAACTGAACTACAGCACAAATTATTACCTCTTCCAAAAAAAAAAAAGACCCGAAATATTACAACTTACCCGCAGCTTCGCTGCATATATTGTGGTACAAGAACAAGATATCACTGTATGTGTAATGATACAAAGGGGGTGTGTATTAGTTGCTATTGCGATCATCTTTTAATGACCTAAATATATCAAAACAAAGGACCGATCTTGGGCAATTTATAATTTTTTTTTATAATGGTTTATTATATCATTTTTGAAGTTATTATTTTTTTTTGCTGTACTAAATTTAGTACGGCATAATTTTCGTGCAATGTTGATGATTTGCAATCATTTTTTACAAAATTGATATTTGCAATTAGTGCTAAAATTTTACGTAGAAATAAAGTTATATTTGATATATCTTTTAGTAAAGTTTGATTAAGATTGAAATTGTAGTTATTTTAAAATTATTTTTTTACATTGTACTAAATTTAGTACAATGGCCAAATGGATACCCATTAATTTTTTAAATTAAAAATTATTTTATTTTTATATTTATATATGGAAATATTATTATAGTGCTATAGTGCCATAGTGTTATCCTATATATAAATACAAAATTGGTATAATTTATAAATCAAAATAATCTAATCTTTACAAAAAATAAAAACTTTTAATTAGATTTAGATTAAAGCAAAGATTAAGGTTAGGCAAAATATAAATTATACTAAAATTTTGCAAGAATTTTTTTTATTAGAATACAAAAGATAGTTTTTAAGTCAAATTTTGAAATATAACTAATTTTTTAAAAATTTATTGTTTTGTTATACAAAGAGTAATCTGCATATTACATCTAATCTTAAATTTTAATTAGTTACAATACTCTAACACTATAGTGCTATAGCACTATAAATTAACTCTCTTTTTATATTATATATTTTATATTTTATTTTTTTTAATTTTCAAAGGTGAGATCATGCTATTTTATTTTTTATTTTTTATTAAATTTTAATAAATTTAATAAAATAAATATTAATTTATTTTTTAAATATTAAAATAACAAATTTAATTAAAATATTTATCTATTATTTGATAAATAACTAATTAAAAAAAGTTTATAGTTTTTACAAAATAAATTAATATTATTAATATAAAATAAATATTAATTTTATAATTTTTTTTATAAAGATTTTTTATAATTATATTTATTTATAATTATATAGATTTTTAGAAAAAATTTCTATAAATAATATAAAATTTAATTTTTATATAAATATAATTCTTTATAGGAAAAATTTACATATAGCCGTGGCTACATGTAGCCTATACTATATAATATATATATATATATTATATAATTATACTATATAATTATATAAATAATATATATTATAAGTTATTATAGATAATGCCACTGGGGTGTGACCAATTATAGACGTGACAACGAATTATTAACTAATTAACTTATATAAATAGTATATATTCGTCACATATATAATTTGTCACACCCCAATAGCAAACAAGTTTCAATCGCTTGTTGTTAATACTATATTACTTACAATTCACTATCTAATACTTTTTAACCCTAACCCTAAATCCGCCAACTAACTACTACTAACAAATACTTTCTAACTCGAAACCCTAACCCTAAATTCGCCAACTAACTACTACTAACAAATACTTTCTAACTCGAAACCCTAACCCTAAATCCGCCAACTAACTACTACTAACAAATACTTTCTAACTCGAAACCCTAACCCTAACTAACTAACTAACGAATATATACTTTCTAACTCTAAACCCTAACCCGCTAACTACTACCTAACTAATATATACTTTCTAACTTTAAATCCTACCCTAACCTGCTAACTACTAACTAATATATACTTTCTAACTCTAAATCTTATCCTAACCCGCTAACTAACAACCCACTAACTAACAAACTAACAATACTTTCTAACTCTAACTATCTAACTACAATATACCCTAACTCTAATCTAATAATCAACCACTAAACTAGCTACTTAATAACTTGCTAATTATAACCCGCTAACTACAATATTGCTAATCTAATACAATTACCCACTAATCTGCTTAATAACTTGCTAATTATAACTTGCTACAACAAATTTCTAAATCTAATATTCTAACCACCAACTTTCTAATTCTAATTAGAGTAACTTTAACTGCCAACTTACTAATTCTAATCCACTAACTTTAATTAATATTAACTACAATCTTACCGATAATAACATATGAAGTTTTTGCCTTGAAAATAACCTTATAGAACATAGTATTTACTATGTTCTATAAGGTTATTTTCAAGGCAAAAACTTCATATAACTTCAGATAAGTACTTATTCGCAAATATATAACAATTCAAAGTAATTAGTAGACATTAAAAGCAATAAATATCAATTTATGTGCATATACATATCTCAATAACACAATATTCTATACCTAAAAAGAATATGGAATTTGATTTTTTTGATGCCATTTTTCACATCCGGCTTTATTATGTCCAACTTTATGACACTGCTGACATTCTGTAGGTTTTCGCCCTTTATTTTTCTGACGTTCTGCATTTTTCTGTTTTACCTCATGTGATCCCTTAAATCTTGTTTTGCGTGGAGCACCTTTTCTTGTATGAATGATAGGATTCTGAATTAAAGATGGATTTATATTCTCAATATCTTGAGAATCTAATTCATCGTTATCATAATTTGAGTCAGAACTATCAAAGCCATCAGATTCATCAGAGCTGCCCGGTATATTGTAAGATTTAGCTAACAAAGCTCTAGGGTTTCTTCGGGGTGATTTCTGATTTGGTGTATGTTTTGTTATAAAGTTTTTCATAAAATCGTTTAACTCTTGTATTGCCGACGATCCTACATCCAACCCCAATTGAATCGCTTTTTTCAAAAGTCCATTAGCTGTTGCATATTCTTTTCGTTGATTTAAGGAATTATAAACATGTTCATAAGGAATATTAACCATTTTATAAGGCATTTCTAGAAAGGTTTCAGTTTGTAAGGTATTAACAGAAGGTTCCTGAAAGCCATCAGTAAAAGGTTGTTGACAAAGGATTGAGGTAGGTTCACGTTGTTTTTCATCATTATACCATCGTTTAGATATTAACATTACATGAAATTTTGCATACATTGAATTTCCTAACAGGCGAAAAAAGTGACGGCAAATGATACCACATCGGACAAGACCCAGGCATGTACAAAGGTGAGATTTATTATCAAAAAGAACAACATAATTTTTTTTTGTGCATCTATGGCGAACAAGTTCCCAGATCTCAACAATGTTATTATATCTATCAGTTGGAATAAGCTCTTTTAAGACTATTAATGGAACGTCAATAGTATCTTCAATTAAACCAGTATTAAGTGACTCATCTTCATTCTCAATCTCCAAAGCGCAATTCTTATCAACTTGTTGAGGAGTGTACCTAATATATTTTTTTATAACAGGTTGTAAAATCATAACCAATAATTACTCAACAGATCATAGCAAATTATAATCCAACACTGATAATAACTATATGGACTGCAATCAATTAAAATCAAACAGATTTATGAAATAAATCTGCTTGATTTTTATTGATTGCAGCCCATATAAAAGGAGTAACATACCAGACGGTTTGTGCTATTTCTTGTCTTTGCATAGAAAGGGCAGCGGGAGTTAAATAGTCAACAATCCATTTATCAATTATAGGTGAAAAGTCATGACTTGAATGTATAAGCGTTGAACCAGTTACGGAATGAACCCAATTTTTATATTGTATTGTAGTAGATACACGATTGAGTTGTATTTCAATTTTTTTAAAAAGATCTAAGAGAGATGTGTGACTATTAATAGCACTTTTAATTATCGCATTTTGCCCTTCTACTCTTTGTGTACTTTGAATCCCTCCTGTAAAAATACGTGAAATATAAGAAAAAGCCCATTTATGTTTTTGAGAACCAAGCGCTCTATTAAGATATGATTCTGAGGCGGGGTATTGTTCAAGTAAAGAGTCCCAAAGATAGTCAAATTCAGTTTGAGATACTGTATTCCTCATTTTATACCAAGCTTTAATAAAATCATTATATTCAAAACCCAACTTAGACTTTAAATTCTTTAATAAATTTTGTCCAATATGGTATATACAATGTACATGATAAGTATCAGGCATTATGTTTGCAATTGCAGCATCAATAGCAAGGTCATTGTCTATTATAATAACCGAAGGGAAGACATTTGTTCCTTTATTAAGTGAATTAAATACCCATTCAAAACTCTCTAAAGTTTCATCAGTCATTAACGTTTGCCCAACTAACCTAGATCTATTATGATTATCAACTATAACAAAAAGCCCAAGCGCCATTTTAAATTTATTAGTAGAGTAAGTATTATCATATTGTACAACATCACTATATTGTAAGTAAAGTTCATATTGTTCTGGGGTCATCCAAAATATTGATACTAAAGTGTTTGTTGCCGGGTCTACACACCAATTTATAGTCCATCTAATATCCTCAGCTTTACGTTCAATAAGGTGATTAACCAGTGTTGCGGCTTCATGATCAACCTTTTGTTTAGTTTTAACCTTTTGAATAGCATTTGACAGGTCTTGGGATAAAAAAAAAACATTTTCATATTTAGCTTCAAGTAATTGCCGTTGAGTACGCATATTAAGATTCCCTTTTGTTGTCCAAAACTCTATATCAGCCAACATTGGCTCAGTTAACGTTCAATGAGTAAGACCAAATTTACTAGTAAGGGGATCTAAAGGATGGTCTCCATGTTCTAAACTTAAGGTGGTGATACTAATAATACCGGTTGTTTTTGGACATGTGGCATTTATGAACCATGGACATCCACTACGTTTGGAACGTGTATTACGCTGGTTTTCAACAATCATCAATTTTTTTTTTCCTTGATAATTACCCTGATATTCACATTTATAACGACAACGTCTTCTTACTCCATTATCATATTCTGCACCATAAATAACTTTAGAAAAGTTTTTGGAATTACAATAAACATCAATATATCTATCAATTTCTGTCCATGATTCAAACCACATACCAGATACTGGTATCGGAATTGATAAAAGGGGTTCAGGTATATTAATAACACTATCAGATAATTGTTCATTATTAATAAGCGGCTCCAGGGAATTCAAGTTTAAATTTTCATTGGCGGAACTATCATAATAAAGGAGTAGGTAAATGACTAATGAATTAAATACTAGGTCTATTCAAGTATATGAAAGTTAAAACTATAGTAGCTTATTAATAAGCTACTATAGTTTTAACTTTTATATACTTGAATAGGCCCACTACAATATTTTACTAAATAAATTACTAATAATAACCTTGCTTCATATATATCATATATATCTTTGTCTTGCATTATCAATACTTGGATGAAACGGCTAGAGCTAATGGAACTAAAGTAAGTAAATCATTATTATATAATTGCTGTAATGTTTAATTGAAGCTAACTAATAACTACCTTGCTTTATATATTTTGTGGATGGAACGAATGGGATGGCTGGTTTGAATAAGACGGCTGGTTTGAATGCGATGGCTGGTTTGAATGCAATGGCTGGTTTGAACATGACGGCTGGTTTGAATGTGACGGCTGGAACGAATAGAACAACTGGAACCAACAGAACTGTGGTAAGTAACCCAATAATATATAGCTGTTGTAACGTTCAATTGAAAGAGATAGCTAATAACCCACCTCGTTTTATAGCTAAAGCACCTGGAACACCTGGAACACCAAAACACCTGGAACACCCAAAACACCTGGAACTGAAAACAACAGAATTGTGGTAAGTAACCCAATAATATATAGCTGTTGTAACGTTCAATTGAATGAGATAGCTAATAACCCACCTCGTTTTATAGCTAAAGCACCTGGAACACCTGGAACACCAAAACACCTGGAACACTGAAACCCTAGGACCAATAATGGAACAAGTAAGTAACCCAATAATATACAATCACTGTAATGTTTAATTGAAGGAACTTGCCCACCTTGTTATGATGGATCGCTAGACGGCTGGAACGAATGGGACGGCTGGAACGAATGGGACGGCTGGTTTGAATGCGACGGCTGAAACGAATAGAACAACTAGAGCCGACAGAACTGTGGTAAGTAAACTAATAATATATAGCTGCTGTACTATGTACCTTACTAGTAAATACAATCACTGTAATGTTTAATTGAAGGAACTTGCCCACCTTGTTATGATGGATCGCTAGACGGCTAGAACAAATGGGACAGCTGGTTTGAATGTGACGGCTGGAACGAATAGAACAAAAAGAGCCGACAGAACTGTGGTAAGTAAACTAATAATATATAGCTGCTGTACTATGTACCTTACTAGTAACCCACCTTGGTTATACGTTTAATACTTATACACCAACGAAATGCAAGCGTCCTAATTTCTTACTTTGCACCACGAAAAAAAAAATTACAAACGTCTACCACGCTAGTGTTGTCAAGGATAGAATAACCAGTGTAGTATAGAACTACTTAAGTTCAACACAAAGGTTATCAAACAATTTGCTTGCACTTTAACTTTGGTTTGTTCTCTTATGTAAAAGACTAACATCTAATCGATATTTTTTTTTTATATGCATATGCGCATTATACATTACACTAATGATTGTACAACTTACTATTACTCTTACGTTACACAGGCTACATGTAGCCATCGGCTACACCTATATTTATTCTTCTTTATAAATATAAAATTTTTAAAATAAAGATATAATTATATAAAAATTTTATCTATCTTACTTTTTTAGACTATTATATATAGTATAGATTAATATTTTATAGAATATGCAGGCAAACTCTACAAATCTGCTATTAAAAATTATTAGTGAAGCTTATTTCATATATTGCCCACCTATTCTATAGAATATCCTTAAAAATTTATTTAAAAATATAAAGGATTGATAATTAGATAAAAAGATTTTAAAATTTTAATTACTTTACTATTTTTGTTTTTTTACTAGTTTTTTTTTTATTTTTTACTAATTTTATTATCTTTTTAGTTTTGTCACTTTTTGAAGTTTTGTCAGTGTTGCTAGTTTTGCTAGTTTTGCCAGTTTTGCCAGTTTTGCCAGTTTTGCCATGTTGCCATTTTAATTTTTTTTTTGGCAAAAGTCAAAACTAGTTTCGACTTTTGCCAGTGGCAAAACCTCTAAGTTTTGCCTAACAACACTAGCAGTCACTAAGATTATATTTTCCGCATGTGTTTCCCATTTCTGCTGCCTTTTTATAATTGTTAAACGCTTTGCATTCGTTCTTTTCAACTCCATTTCCGTATCGAAAACAATTACCAAGACTATTTATTCCACTAGCATGTCCCATATCAGCCGAATTTTTATAATAATCGAATGCTTTACACACATCCCTTTTAACACCAATCCCATAATTATAACAATTGCCTAATTGATATATTCCCATAGAATTACCCATTTCAGTTGATTTTTGGTAAAAAATGAAAGCATTATTTTCATTTTTTCGACACCAATTCCGTATTGATAACAATGGCCAACTTGAAATACACCCTTGAAATTACCCATTTCGGCTGATTTTTGATAAAAACTGAAAGCATTATGTTCATTTTTTTCGACACCAATTCCGTATTGATAACAATGGCCAACTTGAAATATTCCTTTGGAATTACCCATTTCGGCTGATTTTTGATAAAAAATGAAGGCACTATGATCATTCTTTTCTACTCCAATTCCATATTGATAACAGTAACCCACTTGAAACATTCCTTCAGAATTATCCATTTCTGCAGATTTTTGATAGTAAATGAATGCACTATGTTGATTTTTTTCGAAACCAATTCCATACTGATAGCAATGACCAACTTGAAACATTCCATCATAGTTACCCATTTCTGCAGATTTTTGATAATAAATGAATGCCCTATGTTGATTTTTTTCGATTCCGATTCCATATTGATAGCAATGACCAACTTGAAACATTCCATCATAATTACCCATTTCTGCTGAGTTTTGATAATATATGAATGCCTTACATTCATCCTTCTCAACCCCAATTCCGTTTTGATAACAATGACCTGCATGAAGAATTCAATTACAGTTTTTCATTTCAGCTGATCTTTCAAAATAGATAAATGCCTTACGCTCATCTTTTTCAATACCAATCCCATAATAATAACAAATTCCAATTCTAAATAGACCAATAGAGTGACCCATATCAGCCGATTTCTTGTAATAAATAAACTGTTTTGTTTCATCTTTTTCAACACATTACCCAAACGATAACAACCTGCAAGAATACATGGAACTAAAGGATTTGTTTGATTTTGTTCATTTAAACAACAATTGATTATTTCCTCCGGTTTTTGGTTATTTTTTACTAAAAATTGATCTATCAAATCAAAAATTAATTTCGTATTTTTTCCTTTTGTACTTTCTTCGCTATAAATTTTGCATAAATTATCAATGATTTCGTTTGGAATAGTTTGATTTGACATTTTATAAATAAGTTTCAGTGGAATTGTATGTTCTAGGTCAAGATCCCGAAAGTCCAAATCTAATTATTGCGTCATGTGATGCCGGAGATGCGGCATTCAAACTCCGCTTAACAATGATTATTAATCATAATATGCAGAGTTTTGAATGTTGTATCACATCACACGACGCGATAATTAAGTTTTAGGATTTGGACTTTCAGGATTTTGACTTAAGTACTTTGATTTTTGAATATAATTTTAGTATTCTACAAAAAAGCATTTATCAATATAAAATTTCAAAATCAATGACGCAGTATAAAATGGTTCTACCACAAATCCCGACATCCAAAATCTCGAAACCATAATCCTGACATGACAATTAATATTTAAAGATTAGTAATTACATTAGCAATCATTGTTATACTTTAAATTTTTAATTGTCACATCGCGTGATGTCAGTATTATGACTTGTCAAAAATTTTGGATGTCGGGATTTTGTGGTAGAACCGTACTAAATATACCGAAACCGTCAAAAACATCCTATATCAAAAAATTACGTAACTTATTTACGGCAGTATCTATATTTTTTTTATTCTATTACTATCCTTGTCTAAATTCTGCATTGAATACGTAATCTGTCGATCTTCGAATCGATAGAACATCAGTTTATAAATGAGAAGCAATGGAGTCGTGACTTATACTGTACACATAAAAGATTTAATCATCTGGTCTTGACCAATAAAGTTTCACGTAAGGGCTAATTTTGATTGTGATCTAAATAGTAGAATCGATTACTTATAACTCTAGTCAAATTTGCAGATCAATTGGAATCAAATCATTTTGAACTTGGCCAAACGATCGGCAAATTTGACCAGAGTTATGAGTAATCGGTTCTGCTATTTATATTACAATCAAAATTAGCCATAATGAATAGGTGTTACGTGAAACTAACTTTAAATCTTAACGTTAAAATTTACAGCCTATAGTGAAATTGTTTATTGCGGCTTGCAAAATTTTCTCCGATTGTCACAAAAATCATGTAGATACATCTTTTTGCAAAGCGCTAAAACTGATAATTATAAGTAACAGGCATTTCTTGAATGAGGACCAGGTTATTGGCGTAGTGATCAGCTACAATGATCTCTGATATTAGATCTTTTTTTACTTAATGTATGACATACGATACAAAACCTCAATTCCTATTTAGAAATAATGCATAAACTAGCTTGAAAATAAATTTCTTAAATTATCGATCTAGATAATGGTCTAGAATTTCTTTGCATAGAGACAATATGTCAAAGAATAATACTGTGACTTAAGAGTAACTATTATATGCTTACTGAAATAAGATTCTATTAAGAATGGCATTTTTAGATTACTTCCCATATATAAAGTGATTGTAGTTTTTAAATTTCCCGCACCGTATATACGTATGTACGCCTTCTTTGAATTAAAATTTTTATCTTGCATTTTTCTATTTTCTTTTAATTTGTAAATTATAGATATGTATAGCAGAAATACGTAATACATTATATGTAAATATATTTTGTAGAGACCTTACGTGTACTTTTGATGGTTATATTTGTAAAAAAAAATATAGTTTTTTAAGTAAGTTGCATGAAAAAATTTTGTTTACAGAATTTTCTTTATAGACTGTACTATACAATACATATATATATTATCAGTTATACATATTTAATATTTGGAATCATTATTCAAACTTTTAAGGCCAATATTTTTTTGTTATTTCGAATTGTTTTCTGTGCCAGGTTTGTCGATCATTGTGGCGTAGGCAAAATCCTTCAAGGTTTATTAATGTTACGGTTAGCGTTTAAAAGAAGGTTAGTTCAAGGAATATTTTTTGTTAAAGCACCGAATGTGATTTTTTATGCAGGTTTTTAATTAGCGACGCTAATTTCCTGATCGTGTTACGTTACACCTGAACCTTGAAATCTGATTTGTGGATCAGGAGATCTGCGTCACAATGATCGACAAGTAACTTATAATTCGATCTACACTGAATGAGAAATGACTGGAGTAGTTTTTAATGCTGACCGTGAGACTCGCATAAAATTTTTTCTATGTAATAATTGTTACAAATTATAATTAAGTCACTATCGAAAAAACAGTTCATCACTGGCAAAAATAAGTTTAATCAATCGCAATATATATTACATTTATTTTATTTATTTTGGACTAAATTTAGGCCGAAGTGAAAATTTATGATAGAGAAGCGAGTAATTGGCTGTGCCCGTTTTTATTCTGGCTATTATCGCTTGATTCCTTACGTTAAACATATGTAGTTGACCTGCGATATCCGTCTTCCAACGCCATTGTCTGCTACTTCATATGATTGGTCATGTCATATGATAAATGCGGCTGGGGTCATGTTTTCTTCTCTTTTCGATCTTTATTGAGAAATAATTATGGGCAATTTTTTCTTTTTAATAAATCCCAATTTTATTTTGTGCATAACTGTTTATACTGATTATTGTTTCGTATCTCTTTCTAGAAACTAAGAATATTAAGTTTTTTTTCGCTTGCTTGAATCATAAAAGGTTACATTAATGGCGAACAATTAAAATTACAGCATACGTAACACAGCATCAGGCCTCATCTATAGAAGATAATGATTAAACGGTATATATAGACGTACGTACGAAGTGTTCAAATTCTTTGAGTGCGAATCACGTACGTACGTACGTAGTTTTTTTTTTAAACAAAAACTTGTAAAAGAATTACTATTAATAATAAATTAGTAAATAATTCAACTAATCAAACTATATGTTAAATTTTAATTATTAGTCCCGTGAGTATATAAAATATTTCTGCTCATTCTAAAATTAACTAAGTTTATCAAACAATAAACCTAATTACTATTTATACAAATTGATGTTTCAGGAATTAATAGCGGACAGAATCAACGCCAACTCAGAGAAGTTACAATGATCCGTTAGCCCATGGTAAAATTCAATATAACGTGAAGCGAAACTTTACAAATTTTTTAATTTCCGTCAAGATAATT